AATTGTACTGTGCTTGTCATGCAAAATTACAACATTATTGGCCTACTTATGGATTCTAACACACAAGCATAAAATGTTGCGCTCACGTCTTCTCTAAGGCGATAATTCAAGCTTGAAATATTGAAGCTATATACAATATCTTATGCCTTAGAATAAGGCGCGTCAATCTCAATATCTTACAATAAGGCGCGTCTCATGCAGCGTCATCATTGATCAAACAAGTTTTCAATTGTACTGTGCTTGTCATGCAAAATTACAACATTATTGGCCTACTTATGGATTCTAACACACAAGCATAAAATGTTGCGCTCACGTCTTCTCTAAGGCGATAATTCAAGCTTGAAATATTGAAGCTATATACAATATCTTATGCCTTAGAATAAGGCGCGTCAATCTCAATATCTTACAATAAGGCGCGTCTCATGCAGCGTCATCATTGATCAAACAAGTTTTCAATTGTACTGTGCTTGTCATGCAAAATTACAACATTATTGGCCTACTTATGGATTCTAACACACAAGCATAAAATGTTGCGCTCACGTCTTCTCTAAGGCGATAATTCAAGCTTGAAATATTGAAGCTATATACAATATCTTATGCCTTAGAATAAGGCGCGTCAATCTCAATATCTTACAATAAGGCGCGTCTCATGCAGCGTCATCATTGATCAAACAAGTTTTCAATTGTACTGTGCTTGTCATGCAAAATTACAACATTATTGGCCTACTTATGGATTCTAACACACAAGCATAAAATGTTGCGCTCACGTCTTCTCTAAGCCTATGGGACCCAGCACTGGGAGGCGAGGCCCAGTCTAATAGCATTAAACTCATTGTGAATTTTGTATGCATAAATGATAATACTTTTTTCCAAATTTGACTGCAAGACGATCGGTTTCATAGCATCGAAAACAATAGAAGCGCCTAACATAACATACAATAAATTATACCCTATTCGAGCTACCGTTCCTCACAGTAAAACATTATCCAAATTCGACTGCAAAATTATCTGTTTGCAAGCCTCAAAAACAAACTTTATATTACTCGTGTCGATGGCCGTGGTAAAATGATGAAAAAGTGTTTTCGACTGATCCATTCGTTTGCGTTCGAACATGGTGTAAAGAAATCTCTTTACGTCCGACTCGTTCCGTGGATCACCTCTGAACGATGGAAAATAAAGCTTAATGTTTGAGTTATGAATCTTAGTCTGTAATTGGTCAGTTTTGTTGAAGAACAATATCACGTGCGTGCTAGCAAAAGTAAGACTGTTCACAATATCGCCGAAAAGTTCCAGGGACTCTTGGAGGCGATTTGTTTGTCGATCTTCCGCCAAAACCTCGTCGTATTCGCTTGCGGAAACGAAAAAAAGCACGGTGGTGACGTCATCGAAGCATACTACCCATTTTTGACGGTAATGCCGCTGACCACCCACGTCCACAAACATGAAAGGGACTCGGGATACTTCTGTGTGGTATTCTGTGATCCCCCGCGAGATTTTTCGCGAGCGTAATACGTCTTCTTTTGTCGGAAGGTAGTCCTAGTGAAAATGACGTGTTAGTTTTATGGTATGGTGTGGTATGGTATGGTACAGTATGGTATGGTATGGTATGGTATGGTGTATGGTGTGGTATGGCATGTTATGCCAAGGTAAGGTATGGTTTGGTACAGTATGGCATGGTATGTTGTAGTATGGTATGGCATGATTTGGCATGGTATGGTATGGTATTGTATGGTATTGTATGGTATGGTATGGTATGGTATGGTATGGTATGGTATGGTATGGTATGGTATGGTATGGTAGTATGGTATGCTATGGTATTGGTATGGTGTGGTTTCTTTGGTATGGCATTGGTATTATATATGGTGTTCAAAATCAATAATCACTTACCTCATGTTTGATCTCACTCAGTCTTTCCATGAAATACTTGGTGGAATCTGGCTGGGAAAATAATACAACATTCCATTGTGAAAAAAACGATCGAGAAAATGTTGGCAACAATACAGCCAGACTACTTCCAGGAAGTCGTGGCTATTGAGTTTCAGGAAATACGACTAAAGTTGACGCAAATGTCTGCAAATCTTATTAAAGCTCATTAAAAAAGCTCTCGAAATATGTGGGAAGAAAGCTGTTTTCTGAAACCAGAGACTAAGTTAATTAGTGAAGCCGAAAAGGCAAGCTTAAAGTACAGTGAGGACAAATACTGGTGGCACAATGTTTAATAGTAGAAGTCTCTTCACCTCTATGACCCGGATTTAGAACATGCAATGTAACATGTTGTCTAACACAAGATAGTTTAGAACTGACAGAGCTATCCAGTATCAGTTATGTAAAAGTCGATGCAAATATTGCGTGCCAGAATACACGCTTCGATTGGCCTTCAACACTCTTTGCAATGAGAATGTGAAAACAGATAAGTCGTGCTGAATTTCCCATGACATAAATTTTCACTACTTAAATATCTCATCGAGATGCTGCATAGCTTTTAGCCATAATTTTTCAGTTCTTAAATATATATCTCATGGAGCTCATGGTATTGAGCAATAATCACGGTAAATATATTTAATCTTCATTTGGCAACATTTTCGGTGTTGCTTGCCAGTTTTTTTTAGACGAATTTGGCGAAATAATCGGATTACTGAATATTTATTTTGATATGCTAGGATTGCTAGCCTTGTTTTTGCGTCAAGACCGTTCTTCTGCGCAAAAATGTTCCCACATTGCGCTTTGCGGTTGCGCGCAAATCATTGGAAAAATGCGTTTAGGTCATTCTCATTTCTAAGGTTCCGGCAGACAGTTATAAGCGCGATGTTTCTACAAGGGCTGATGTAGCTGAAATACGCCCTCTAGGCTCTATGTAAACCTGTGCCTCTGGCTCTGATCACTGTGCTAACGCTAGCTACCAAATGGAAACTATATACAGTATATACTTGTAGTACAGGGCTTGAAATAGCGGGCTGTCAATGGCCAAAAGCAGGCCATATCTTAGAAATGGCAGGCAAAAACAATTTTGAACTGCCAAGTAAAAAAAAATGGCAGGTGAAATTTTATAGATATATTTAATTAATTTGCTTGCCACAACTCAATATATACTAGCTCATTTAGTTGAATAAATACGTTTATATACTTGAAATGTAAATCCACGTTTACTGTAGTAAAATAGACAAGTTTAAAAATAATAAAAATGCATATCATGAAAACATTGATTTTTACAATATGACTCATATGAGACATCGCCATTTTGGCAGTTCAATGAATAAAAATGGCAGGCTAAAATTTATTTCACCTACCAAAAATGTTTAGACTGGCAGGCCATATTTTTTCTCTACTTCGAGCCCTGTTGCAGTATATGTATATGAGGAACATATAGGGAAGAATACCTTAGTGGGAACTATGTAAATATTGTTTTTTCCCTCTTTAAATAAGGCCACATAAAAAAATTACTTGTTTAGCGTCCACCCATTTTAATTTTCCTAGGTCGGGCGGGCGGATTTTTTTTTTTTTTTCGTAAAATGCAACACAAAATTCTGCTAAATGCAGGAAATCCAGTATATTACCACAGCTGCCTCGTCCCCAGTCGCTTGCTATCAAATAATTAATTAGTAAAAGACGAAAATTAATGGGGGCGCGCGGGACGATGGGAAGGGGAGGAGTTTTCGTCTTCCCAGCATGCATCACAACAGATTTGTTCAGCCACTGATCTATATATTAAACTGATATGTCTATATATACACTGATCTACAAACAGTAAGGGCCTGCGGAGGAGGCAGTTACCACAGTCAAAACTCACTTTAATTCTTTCAAAATCCGTTCATGTTTTTTAATACCGTTCATGTTTTTAATAAAACAGAAATGAATATACCGTTTGGCGGTCACGCGCGAACACTTTAGCTGCGAGGAAGGAGTAAACGTATTACATAGCTCCCAGAAGAATAAAATCACCATTTTTTCAAGTAAAACGGTCTTTTTTATAGAGAGTTTTTGCACTAAACTCGGACGGATTTAAAAAAAAAAAAAAAAAAATTGGAGGTCGGGGACTTTTATCAGGTCGGGCGGGGACGCTAAACAAGTAATTTTTTTATGTGGCCTAAAGTATTAACCAACTAACTAACTGCCTGGCCTTCATAGATTCTTGTGTCTAATAGCGGTGGTGTAATAAGGTTAACAATAATTAAATATTGGATGTTTTTGTTATCATAATAGTCTATGTTTATGTGTCTTATCTTTTCGTGACACGATAATGAGATTGGCAACTTGTGCAGCTTATCACACCTCACGCTACATGTCGTACAGTGTCAAGTTTTTTTTTATCTTTTAATTTCAGAGAACATTTATTGTACTCAGTATAAGCAGGATTTGTAGTTTCATGTGAAAAGAGTGCTTCCAATGTCTGTCATGTTTCCTCCTGTTGTAACAATGGACCAATAAAGAAAGAATGGCTCTTACTGGACCTCTAAAGCCGTGTTTACACTACGAGCCTAAGCCTGGCCTAGGCCTAGCTTTGAACTAGATTTTTGTAGTGTAAACGCACTTCGGGTTGGCCTAGGCCAGGAAATCGTGGTCACCTGTTCTGATGGGCCCAGATTTCCTGGCCTAGGCCAGACCGAAGTGTGTTTACACAACAAAAATCTAGTCCAAAGGTAGGCCCAGGCCAGGCTTAGGCTCGTAGTGTAAACACACCTAAAAGAACAGTTTAGAACTAATATAATCAGTATCCAGTACAAGTAATCATTTAGTTTCATTCTATAATTAAATACGATGTGTCCCAGTCTAATGACAGCTGAGAAAATATTTATTTACCTCGATGCAAATTAAACATTTAAAAGCAAATTATAGGGACAATATTTCCGACACGCTCAAATCTGGAACGCCACCAAATTTGCTTTTGGAGTCTCACAGTATTTACACGGCTTAGAATGCCATTCCATGGTATATATGTACTAGCGAGCTAGCATTACTGTCATATATAAAATGTTTCATTAATGTCCTCAAAACATCAAGCATTTAATGCACATCTCAAGTCAACGCGAAATTGCGATGATATTGAACTTAATGGCAGTTCAACTGTGATGAAATCTGTTTTAGACATCATAGACATGCTGACTCTTTCATGCCTAGTGCCCGCATGTATTTATAATGACAATTTTACACTACTTAACGCACTGTATGCAAATTAGTCTTTGAGTTAGTTTGTGCGCCTATGCCATACTGACCTAAAGCCATATATCTCATGAATCAAGCTTGCGGTTAATTTGTTAGAATGATTTCAATAACACGGTATCGTTTGCATATTTGGTATTCTTATGTCATCACCCTTATTAAATGAACGTAATGCTGTTTTTATTTCCGCGTGTATACATACTACTCAGCTTTTTTTACTCGCAGTGTTGGCATATACGTCCTATTGTGTGTGTTGAATTAGTCTGTTCTGTGGGTACCATTCTATTGGCCTCAACTTTGTTAAAGAGTGCCTGCTTTGGTTTTAGGAAGTGCATCAAAGATACCCTTCCCCAACTTACTGCTATAGGGCGAGTTTCACCAACCACAATCGCGCAGCAGATGGTGGTCAACTACCATGCCAGAATAATGTTTTCTATTTTCATTATATGTAGTAGACTTGTATTTCATAGTCAACAAATAGAATTAGCCTTTCTAATATCCGCCAATATACGCTTTTTTTTTTTTTTTTTTTTTTTTTTTTGGGGGGGGGGGGTAGTGTAGGGTAATCTAGACTAAAAAGCGACTTTACAAAGTTATAACGGTAAATTTATCATCAATCATTATACACTCATGAAACTTCGCATTTCGCGGTCTTTACACCCTCAGGGTCAGGAGAGCCGCCAGTACCCCCAAAATGGCAGATAAACCAAACGCGAGAAATGCTAATTGAGATGCAGTTTAATTTGCCGCTTCCTAAAGCGCCAACAGCATTTTTAAAGCTGGCGGCCAACATGCAGAGATTGATCACTATCTCAGCTGGCCTTCAACGCTTCCTGAAACCTAGCTATTTAGAAACTGGAATCCGTAATTCCAGTCGACAATTTTGAGAAATATAATACGGAACATTCTTGAAATAACGGCAGATCTTGCGCTCTCAAGAGTTACTACCTATATGGCAATACACGAACTATCTGTGTTATAATACAGCTATCAATACACGATAATCGATATGCATCTTTATATCAATCGAAATATCATCGCATATCGCTTGCAGATAACTCAAAAATAGTGAGACCACAAGATACTATTATTATTCGTAGCGGTATCTTCCATTATACTACTATTTAAATTATATTACTATTCCTCAAACTAACCCCAATTCAGGATTTTGGGCATGCCACATGCACACTCGAAATAACTCCTTGTGGAGGAGCCAAGTAAATGAAAATTCCAGACAGTGTGAATTTTCTACAATATATTAGACCATAGCCTATCGAAGGGAAAATGGCTGTGAAACTCGTTAGAATAACAATATAACTCATTATCTACGGTAGTCAACGTTTATTCGTAAATACGGTCATTCACCGTCACGTGTGTATTGTAATGTTTGCCCGAGTAACCAATAGCAATGTTTTAGGAAAGTTACCTATCCGTGACTTGAGCAATAGCGAAAACTGGAAAATTACTATTGGTGGATTTGGCAAAAATACAATACACACGTGACGGTGAAGGACCAGATTTATGAATGACTAACATAGATAACGAGTTATATTGTTATTCTTTCACAGCCATCCTCCTTTCGATAGGCTATGATCAGACCTAACCTTAGTCTTAGATCTGATAAAAGGTTTAAAATTCACACTCAAAGTCTCAAAACTTAGCATCTTTATAACCCCTAATTCACATACAATGTTTCCACTTACCAGCTGATATTCTCGTTTGCGACTGTAGGCAGTCTGTATCCCCTTATCATTCCATAGTTTAGTCAGCAGTTCCACCTTCTGTACGAATACGCTCTGGTCGACGCGACGTGGAACTTTCCACTGTAATAACTCTTGCGCTTTCGTCTCGTAACTCTCGTTTCCCCACGGAATACGTAGCTTCTGTCTGGCATCACAGAGCACTTGGATAGCTTTGAACACGTTCGTGTAGATAAGATCCCGGAATTCTAGTAAATCTTTTTTATCATAATCTTCACCATAAATGATTCGCATTTGCTTTGCGAAAGTACTTTTGCCCGTCTCGCCAGCACCCAAGAGCAGAATTTTGACCAGTCTTAAAGCCCGCAAACTATCTAAATATAGTTCTTTATCCAAATTGCGTGAATGGCGCGCTTCTGGTGTATGATACGAGGCGCAAAGACACGACATTTTCCTTCCCGAAGTTGCGCGCAACCGACGCTCGACAGCTCTTATCAGTGCGCGATTATCGAATGATTAGCATACATCCCACGGATTGCTTTTACAACGCCGTCTATTCTATTATATTGACTGATAGGCGTTAAGCGTTTATCTTGTGTTGACGTGAGCATTTTTGGAAGGTTTTCATTATTAACCTGGCGTAGATTTGAAACCGCAAATATCAAATTTCACTCGAAAAATCTTTGCGTTTAATAGCGTCGAAATTTTTCTTGAGGGCCGAGGCATTAATACTTGAGTGAATGCCAAACTGGTAAATGGTTTTAACTGGAATTTTACAGTGTTAATGACTTTGTTTTTAAAACCAAAGTTGTGAGTTCAAGTTATTCCTCAAGTTATTCCTAGTGTGGGAACTTTGTGCCTTGATAATAATCCAGCATTATCTTTTTTGTTTCTCAGGGAACTTATCTGGGATGACATTATTGTTACATATTATTTAAACCCTAATGTTCCAATTAGAATCAAAACCGCAAGGGTGCATTATCGCACAGTTTGCTACTTCCGACTTAAACTTGCCTATGGTCACGAAAGACACGCAATGGGAAAGTGATACATGCCTGTCCGCTTTGAATTGGGAAGGGCGAATGAAAAACACATTTTTTATTAATTACAGAAATTACTAGAATTAATACGTAAAAAGGTCCATTTTGGGTTTGTCTCAAAGTAGCAGTCACGGTCATTGGTATATGGTTATACTTTATATCCTTGGAACATAATTGCGTTGTATGGTATGGTATGGTATGATATGATATGATATGATATGATATGATATGATATGATATGGAATGATATGATATGGAATGGAATGGTATGAAATGGTATGTTATGGAATTGTATAGTTACCATACCATTCCATCCCATAGCAATGGAATGATATGGTATGATATGGTATCATACTATCATTGGTATGGTATGGAATGATATGGTATGAAATGATATGGTATGGTATATGTTATGGAATTGTATAGTATGCTATGGGATGGAATGGCATACTAGGCTATGGTATGGCACTGTTATGGAATTGTGTGGTATACGCAATACGCATGGTCAGAAGTATATTATATGGTATCGCATAACAGTTCATTTACCTGTATTAATCAATGAATTCCTAAAATACTGCTCGTGTATAAACTAAGACCATCCCCCTATCACACACTAATCGAATGCTAAATATTTAAATTTCCAAGGTGGTCAATAATTTCTGGTATTCAATGCTATGTTTTAAAATGTTGTCGCTGTACTTCCTGCTTTGCCAAATAGAGGGCCGAAGCTAAGATGGCGCCATGTGTGTATGTTGACTCAACCAGATTTTTTGTTGACATAATTTATCGTTAACCTGCTTTAGGGTTGACAATGCTATTAAAAACTTTATTTATTGTTTTATCTGCGCATTTTTTTAATATTTTATATTTTGATTTGTCTTGAATGGGTCTGAATTTTATTACGTAACCCTCTGTATATTTATGTAATCAGTAGGACTGGTTTACATATAGAACACAAAAGACAAGATAGATCCAGACCATTGAACCAGAATCAGTTCTCTATCCAGACTATTTCAGATGTAATGTAATACATAGAGTGTTGATCTATATTTCTACAGTCAGTAAAGACTGATTTACATACAGCACATGAACAACAGTGAAAGACAAGATAGATGAGATCCAGATTATTTCACATGTAATGTAATAGAGTGTCGATATATATCTACAGTCAGTAAAGACTGATTTGCATAGAGTACGCAAGAGACGAGTCAACCCTTGCTGCAATTTGCAACGCAATTTGTGATGCGGAACTTTGAGTGCAATCACCTCCATTGCCCTTTACTAAGAGGGGGTAAATATTAAGTTTCCTTCTTAGTAAATGTATTCCTATTCAAAACTGTCTCTAAACACAACTCGTATCCGAGGAAATGCCATTCTTAAGCACCCACTACATTGTTGAGCTTCAGAACTTGTGGTGTGGTAAATTACCAAATTTGTTTCGTGTTGTTCCATTCTCGTCCCCTGAGCCATTTTCACGAGAGGCTCTGAGGACGAGGATGGGGTTGTTCACAACAGGTCAAGTTCGTATTCAGAACAGTTAATATTTCCTTGCCGAGATGTGAATCACAAGATTTTGGAACTGTGGTCACATTGGTTCATAGATATTTTTGTATCCATTTATTCATACAATACTCGAAAACCTGTCAGATTTCTTCATTAGACATTAACCTTGTTTATTCGTAAAAATAAACAAAAAATTGGTTTGGGTGCTTGCCAATGAAAGTTCAAATTTTCGGAGGATAATCTATGATGAAAGGCGATACTGCGATAATTCATAATTGTTTATTCTCTATATATAGCATATGCATGATCCTTCACAAATTAGATTATTCATTTTTGGCAGAAAATACAGGCCGGTACTAACACATTGTATTGTGTTATTAATATGTGCGTTAATACGTGTGGCAATCTTAAGCCTGGTTTTCATAAATCGCAATTCGTCAGCCATGTTCTCATGGTCCATTCTCTGCTTATATTGTGTGCTTCACTGCACTTTTGAGAGCAACTTGCTGAGCTATTAACCGCCTCGCGTGGCAGCTAGCTCAGCAAATTTCTCTCGTGTGCGGATAGTTTTCGTGAGGATTTGACCTCTCGAGACCTCGAGGAAAATATCTGTCCGTCTGCAGATGTTGTGAGTTGAGCTGCTTGAATCAATTAACCAATGAGAAACCATAATTTCTTCATGTGACTTTGAACAAAATGAAGGGAAATGCAAACGATTTTGTCAATGATTTTGTTGTTGAGTAGTTTTCCCAACGTGTGATATACTGTATATCTCTAAAGCCGGTTTTCCACTAGGCGGAATTTTGCGCGCGGAGCGGAATTTTTTTTTGTTTTTTCCAATTAGTTCCACCCGAGAAATCACAAGACCAAGAAAACGTCCGCTCCGCGCGCAAAATTCCGCCTAATGGGAAACCGGCTTAAACAAAAAAAAATTGAAGCGCAACCATCTAGCTTAAGGCGATTTCCATTCGGTGGAAAAGTCGCTCGATCGACTTTTTGCGATCACTTTCTTTTCAAATGCGTGCAATCAAGCGCAACGGATGAGGTTGACTGCACGCATTTGAAAAGAAAGTGGTCGCAAAAAGTCGATCGAGCGATTATTTCCACCGAATGGAAATCCGCCTTTTAAGCCTGGTTCACATTGATCGGCGATGTTCTACTATCCATTGTCTGTAAGCAACGAAGAAGAAAAGGCACAAAACATTTTATGCATCAATGACCACCGACAATGGGCATCGCCGATGTTTACAATCAATGTGAACCAGGCTTAAGGCGGTTTTCCACTAGGCGAAATTTTTCGACCGAATCGAAATTTCTCTTTGTTTCATGAGCTCTCGAGCAGAACTAATTGTAAAAAGACAAAGAGAAATTTCGTTTCGGTTGAAAAATTCCGCCTCGTGGAATCAGGCCTTTAAGCCTGATTCTCGTATGTCGCCAACGTCGGCGATGCCCATTGTCGTTGATCATTGATGAGTAAAATCTTTTGTCTATGTTCTTCTTCACTGATCTCAAACAATGGCATCGCCGAATATACGTGACATTCTTCTGAAGATGACTTAGGCCCGTTTCATACGCCGTACTTCACATGTGCCGAATACATTAAAGACAATAGGTAATGAGCTGAAATGCCTCATTATCTATTGTTTTTAATGTATTGGGTACATGTGAAGTACGGCGTATGAAACGGGCCTTAAATTAATAGTCGAAACGTAAAGAATGAAAATTTTACCATTTTCGGAGTGTCTATTGTTTTGTGTTTTATTAAAATCTTTAAGCGATGAGTTCAAAACAATGACTGAAAAGACAAATGGAATTGCGCTCATTGGCTTGTGACTGGATGCATTGTTGTTTTGCTAAGGAATGCAAAGTTCATCTAAGTTTACTTCTAAAATATGCGAGAGTTGTTCTGCATGAAATATAGCAATATATGCAATAAGCGTTTGCGAGAGTTGTTCTGCATGAAAGAAGGTGGAGAGCAAATTCTATATGTAAGGATTGGTCTTTTAACTTTCTGTCGTCAAAGCTTTGAGTTGTTTCAGAGTTGTATGTGACGACAGTCTCAATAAAAAGAGTTTTGCCTTGTTTGGAAGCAAGAATCTATAAGGGTGAGGCCTACATTCATGTATCATATATGTCTATTTTAAGCATGCATGCATTTAAACTATTACCCGCGAAGACTACCATAGACTAGAATTTGTTCCTATGCATCAAATGCATGTGGTGTTGTTCAACTGTTAGTTTTCGTAACGTTAACTGGTATTAATTAGTTCAGGTTTCCTCCTGTAGTAACACAGGACAAATAAGGGTTGTCCATTTCTGGACCTCTAGGGAGAACAGTTTAGAACTGATAGAGTTATCCAGTATAAATAAAGTTAGTTTAGTTTAGGTTTCCTCCTGTAGTAACACTGGATCAATAAGATCCTTATGATCCTTACTGGACCTCTAGGAAGAACAGTTTAGAACTGATAGAGCTATCCAGTATAAATAAAGCCGTTAGTTTAGTTTATGAACAAATAAAGGTTGTCCATTTCTGGACCTCTAGGGAGAATAGTTCAGCACTACGAATGCAGCAGAACTAATAGAGATACCCAGCAAGAATAAATCCGGCGTACTATATGGCCCAGTATAAATCAAATTAATGTAACGTTTGCATGGCTTTAGATTCAACTCGTGCTGTAGTTGGTGAATATCACTGAAGATAAAGGAGTCAGTTGAAATGATTTCAGAAAAGTTGTCTCTCTCGCCGTTCAAGTCACATCTCAGCCAACATGCTGTTCCCTCGTCATTATTCTGCAGTGACCAGGACTGTGGACAGATCACTTCATTATTTGCTGAGTCCGAGCATTATTCCTGGTCATGTGGCTTTCTTGCTTGGATTTTGTTAGGGATCATAACTGTCATGATTGCTGGTGGAATTTTGATTGTTATACGATGTTATCTCAAATTTAGGTATACAGTACATGCGGGTGTATATAAAAAAACACAACCTCGGAATTTCCTAAGAAATCCACTTTGCAATTCTTAAGCATAAAAGATTTTAGGCCCCTGGGAATTGAAATTGAATTGCTAATAATCATATTACTGTTGTTGTATTGTTAAATAAATGCATAAATTTTGCTTTATGCACTCGCGTGTGCCGTAATTTTGACAGTTATGCTATTTTAAATTCCCAGTCATCTAAAATCTTTTGTCCTTAAAACAATATCGATTTCTTGGGAAATTCCGAGGTTGCGTTTTTTTTTATACACCCTGTATACCTATACTGAAACCTTATGCTGTACACCTCTACCATGCAGTTCTAAACTGTTATCTCTAGAAATCCAGCAAAGAGAATTCTATATTGATACTACAGGAACAAACTAAACTAACTGTATTTATATCGCGGTTAGCTCATTCTGTTGTAAACTGTTCTCCCTAGCTATAGAGGTCCAGTGAGGATCATCTCTTATTGATCCAGTATTACAGGAGGAAACACAAACTAAATTAACTTTAATTACACTGGATAGGTCTATCAGTTCTAAACTGTTTTCTCTAGAGGTCAAGTAAGAATCATCTCTTATTGATCCAGTGTTACTACAGGAGGAAACCTAAACTAAACTAACTTTATTTATACCGGATAGCTCTATCAGTTCCAAACTGTTCTCCCTAGAGGTTCAGTAAGGATCATCTCTTATTGATCCAGTGTTACTACAGGAGGAAACCTAAACTAAATTAACTTTATTCATACTGGATAGCTCTATCAGTTCTAAACAGTTCTTTCTAGAGGTCCAGTAAGGATCATCTCTTATTGATCCAGTGTTACTACTGCAGGAAACCTAAACTAAACTAACTTTATTTATACGGAATAGCTCTATCAGTTCTAAACTGTTCTTCCTAGAGGTCCAGTGAGGATCATCTCTTATTGATCCAGTGTTACTACAGGAGGAAACCTAAACTAAATTAACTTTATTCATACTGGATAGCTCTATCAGTTCTAACCAGTTCTTCCTAGAGGTCCAGTAAGGATCATCTCTTATTGATCCAGTGTTACTACTGCAGGAAACCTAAACTAAACAAACTTTATTTATACTGGATAGCTCTATCAGTTCTAAACTGTTCTCTCTAGAGGTCCAGTAAGAATAATCTCTTATTGATCCAGTGTTACTACAGGAGGAAACCTAAACTAAAGTAACTTTATTTCTACTAGATAGCTCTATCAGTTCTAAACAGTTCTTCCTAGAGATCCAGTAAGGATCATCTCTTATTGATCCAGTGTTACTACAGGAGGAAACCAAAATTAAACTCCTATAGCTCTGTCAGTTTTTGTAACTTTTCTCCCTATATAGTGGTCCCCTAACAACAACAACAACAACAACAACAACATTTTTATTTGTGTCTATATATAAATTTACATTTTTTTACATTTTTTTACAGTTTTATCACACTCACACTTGCAAGACACCGGTTGCTTAAATAACCGTAATGGGCTAACTTAATAAGCAACCGTAGAAGAATATATATATATAATATGTATATATCAATCAGCTAACCAAAATAATCACAAAAGAGTAATATTTTATGAATTTCTAAGATTGATTAGCTGACTGATACACAACAAAACAAATAATCAAAATGGCAAAAAATGAGTATACAGTATATATAATGAGCTAATATTTATCAAACATTGCTATAGTAATCTTTTTTTTAAAATTAGAAATTGACAGCGATTTAATCGATTCATCCAATGAATTCCAAATTTTTGGTCCATTGTATCGTATATTAAATTGTCCATAATT